GCATTTTGGAAGAAGGTAGGCATCCATAGATCATAAAATAAGATTTCATCAATGAATGCATCTTATGCAAAAATATGCAATCATAGCGATTGTTAATGCTTGATGCTCTAAGGTAGAGGTGAACACTATTTAGTTTAAACTACAAAACCAACTCGAATTGAAGAATAAAATTTTGATTCATTTTCGTTTTAGTTTTTCTTTAGTTTTTTTTTTAATTTTCTTTTTTCAACCGAATCAAATGAATTCATTTTTTTTTGTTTGGTTTTAAAAATTGTTTATTCGATTTTTACCAAAAATGGAATATAACACACACACACACATACACACGCACGTGTGTGTGTGTGTTTAAGTATCTATATAGGGTAAATATATAAATTTTTCTTTATATAATAATAAAAATATCTATATTTTTTTTAGATTTCTAATTGCATCCCATTTGTCCTTAAAAAATTTAAAATATTTAATTTGTCATTTTGATCAAATTTTTTGACCATAGAAGAATTATTTTGATTGAAATGTCCTTTGCTAAAATGAGAAAATATATATATTTAAAGTCACATGAGCTACATTTTCTATTTTTGAAGTCTTTAGAATTTTATTTTATTTTTTTGTTCGCATTTCAGTTAAGGGCATTTTGGTCCAAAAAATTATTTGGCTGGAAAAATTTATCGACAAGACAAATTGAATATTTTAAATACTTTCAGAAATAAATAAAATATAATTAATAATTTAAGGATATATGAGAGACTTTGAGTATAATATAAGGACGAGATGAGTATATTTAACCATCTCTATATTATCTAACATTGAAAAACCATAAAACTACCCTATTTGTTTATCCTTTTATTCATTTTTACATTTTTTTTATTGCTAAATAAGTTCTATTAATAGTTTATGGGTTATATTATTTAACTCAAATGTTTGATATTATTTTGTAATTGATTGAAATTTTGGAATGGTATTTCTTACTCTTTTTTCTTCATAATAAAATGATTAATACATAGAAGATCTAATCCATGACAAAAATGATATTCAAGGAACCAAGAATCATAACATTATTTTTATATTAAAAGTCAAAGTTTTTGGCTCTAAAAATTGAATAATACTTCGATTCGGGTTTGATTTTAGTGAGTTCGATTAACTAAAAACAAAACCAAATTTATCAAAACTAAAAATGAATAATTGAATGTTCACTCGTATTCTCATGATATGATCATTCAAAAGTTTAAGCACTATATATCGGTGATTGTTTTTTTCTTTTTTGCTGTAAGAACATGATATGTGTTAATGTTTAACAACATTAGTGATACCAAATGAAAAAAAGAAGTCATAATGAAAAAAATATAATGTATGTGGATGATATTAAGACAATAAATAATATAGTTAAAGAAATACCTTTAAAAACAAAAAGAGAGAGCAGAGAATGATATGAAAGGGTTAACCCTACCTATCATAAAATATAAATTAGTCGTTTTCGTTTCGAGGAGAAAATTAAATAATCTCTTTTGTTTTAAAAACTAATTATTTAGTTTTTTATTAATTTAGTTTTTTTATCAGTTTTACGTTAGATTAATAATTTTTATTTTCAAAATATTCTTCTTTTAATTTCTTATTTTTCTCATTTACCTATTTTTCTCTCTCTCTCTCCAACCATCAACTCATAGAAAAAATTAAAAAAAAAAAGTCACTATAATGGTCGATGAAAGGGAAAGATCATCTTGATGTTTGAGAAGAGAGAAATGATGTGGATGAAATAGAAAAACATGATGACAAATAAATGATATTTTAAAAATAAAAAATTATTAACTTAAAAGAAAATTACTAAGTTATTGACTGAATTAAAACTTAATGAATTAATTTTTGAGAGGAAGGAACTAATTGACAAAGAGAATAATTTATAATTTACTCCCCTGCCGGGGAAGGAAAAAGAAGACACGGAAGTTATGGAAGAAAGAAAGGCTGGTCTCCTTCCATTACTGTGCGTATAAGAGAATTCAAAACCAAACTTCTAAACACATTCAATTGTGCCAATAAAATTTTAAAAATAGTACAGTCAATTTCAATTCGAGCATTACCAACGCATAAGATATCCAAAAGATTTTCCAGTTATCATTCCTTCTTCATCTCTCTTTTACACCATTTCACCGGAAAATCAAGTCATCATCAGCTACTTGAACCAAAAACTGGACCAACTACACAGTCCTCCTCCTCCTCCTCCTCCTCGTCGCGTTTCAAGTCAAGGCGAAAGTGGTTGTTTGGTCCATCTCTTGATGGGCATTTTCTCCAATCTCTGCGCTTGCTTGGAGAATAAACTCAGAATTCACAGACACAACGGAGCTGAAGAATCCCCTGACGAGGTCGTGGAGACCAATGATCTCTTCTTTGATCTCCGTACTCTTCAATTAGCTACTAATTTTTTCTCCGACTTGAGTCAACTCGGTCATGGAGGATTCGGTCCCGTTTACAAGGTATGCCTTTCTAAATTCGCTCTTCTGTCAAAACTCAATCCTGGAAATATCAATTTTTTTTTTTTTAATTTATCTATCTTCAGATTATTATTTCCCCTAAAGTTGGTAAGTAGGTTAGAACTGTTGAAGGAAGGATCATGTATTTTGTTAAGGATTTGGAGCAAGCAGAATGCTTTAGCTTAGAGGGTAATGAAAGCGAAGAGAGTTGGTAGACTGAGTAAGATGGAAAAAAAAAGAAAAAAAAAAGCTTGCATATGAAATTTCCAGAACCATCAGAGGGCCAATTTCGTATCTCTAGGGTTGGGGTATATCAATGAGAATCAAGAAGGCGAGGCCATGAAACAATGCCCCCTGTGTCGGTCATCTAATTTTGAAAGATATGAAAATCCTAGGAAGTTCTTTCCCCCTCAAAAGTCCAGAGATTGAGTATCTGATAAAGACGAGGACAAGCTGCACAAAATGAATCTAGCAAATTTGCACGGCCTTGAGTGAATCTTGACATTCCACTCATCAACGATGGAGCAAATTCCTTACATAATCAATGCGGGATTTCTTATTGGAACTAGAAGTCACATGTAAGCAGCTAAGACTGAATTAATAACAAAAAATACATGTAAATGCTCATATGCTTGTTATGTATTTTGAATGAACTCCTTTAAATGTCAACTGCCTTATTTTTTCAAATCTCTCTGTGCGTGGTGTTTCTGTCAAATAATCCTTCAGTATTGGCTTATTGTTAACAGGGATTGATTCCCAATGGTCAAGAAGTTGCAGTAAAAAAGCTATCAATAACTTCGAGACAGGGAATCAGAGAATTTACTAATGAGGTGAAACTGCTACTAAAAATCCAGCATAAGAATTTGGTCAGTTTGTTGGGCTGTTGTGCCGAAGGAGCAGAGAAGATGCTTGTTTATGAATATCTTCCAAATAAAAGCCTTGATTACTTTCTGTTTGGTAAAAGCTCCTCCTTGGAATTTTTTTTTAATTATCCACTTGAATTTTTTATAGAAGGGTGGGTTGATTTTGGGTAAAATTAGTGCTAAAAGTTGAGGTGTTGTAATTTTCAGATAAAGTGAAATCTTCATCTCTGGATTGGACAAAGCGGTTCCAAATAGTTACAGGTGTGGCAAGAGGTCTTCTCTACTTGCACGAAGAAGCCCCCGAAAGGATCATTCATAGAGACATCAAAGCCAGTAATATTTTGCTGGATGAAAAGTTGAATCCAAAGATATCAGATTTTGGCTTGGCAAGACTCTTTCCTGGGGAAGACACCCATTTGAATACATTTAGAATTTCTGGTACTTAGTGAGTAATTTCCTTGATGCTCCATACTACATCAATTAATTATTTTCATATAGCTATATATTTGTCATGAATAATATTTTGTCAAAATTTTCCTTTGGGAATTGGGAACAACAAAATCAAGTCAATTTTTGTTGTTGCATGCAGTGGTTATATGGCCCCTGAATATGCAATGCATGGATATTTATCCGTAAAGACAGATGTTTTTAGTTTTGGAGTTCTTGTGCTGGAGATTGTAAGTGGGAGGAAGAATCATGACCGCCATCTTGGTGCAGAGAAAGTAGATCTATTGAACTATGTAAGTATGAATTTTTCTAATTAACATACTTTTAATTTGCACCTTGTTTCTGTGGTATTAGTAGTTGTTTTATTGTTCAATATATGCATCTTCAGAAACACATTGCTTTTTTTCCCGCTGTTACTTTTTACATATCCGTTTTTCACAAAATTTCTTGAAAACTGGTGGTTCATCAAAGTACTTTGTAGACAACTTGGAAGTTTGTACTCTTAAGCAATGCATAATTGCGGTCAACTTCTTCTCCAGCAGTGGACAGAGCATCCACCCAATACTCAATTGGGAATGAACTGTAATAAATGCAGCATAGTATAAATGAAGCCAGAATTCAATATGAAGTTCAATGTGGCTGCTAAGATATACAAAGAAGTCAGTAAAAGGAAGATAGTATCATGAACTTTCTTGCACATGCCTAGTATTTGACAGCCTTTGTACTTGCTTTGCCTACCCAGACTGGCCAGATCACCACTCTGGCAGATAGTTACTTTTACAATTGATGTATATATTTTGCTATGTAACAAAAATCTAGTCTTCTACGAGTTTGTTATGCATCAAAACGGATAATATGCCTGTGCTTGATAACAGTATTGGCACGGGTAATTTACATGTTTAAGCCGCTGTCTGACCAGTTTGTGCAACTAATGAAAACGGGACTGTGGAGTGAGAGGAGAGACCTGTCTAGTTGCCAGACAAGATATGGGGTGTATACATACCGAAATTCTTGATCCTGGATTTTAATGTAGCATTAAGCTTCCAATTAACTTAATTATGGTGTATAAATATCAAGCTTGAATTTGACGTATTTTGCAATTGGAGCACTGGTTTTCAGATGTTTGTTGCTTCCATTTTCACTTCAATTTAGAAAACAATCAGTCATTTGATCTTCTTTATTTTCCTTTCCCCTCTCTCTCTCTCACCTTCTTATGTAGACATGGATGCTTTACCAAGGAGGCAAGACACTGGAATTAGTTGATCCAAGCCTTGTCAGGTTTAATCGGGATGAGGCAGCGATGTGCATTCAACTGGGGTTGTTATGCTGTCAACAAAGCATTGCAGATAGGCCTGACATGAACTCAGTTCATCTCATGCTTTCGAGTGACTCATTTACTTTACCCAGACCGGGCAAACCAGGAATTCAAGGTCGTGGAGGACGTTGGACGACTACCACTACTTCTGCTCTCACTAACAGTGCTACAGCTGCTAATGCTAGTAGTACAAACACTGGTTCCAGCAGGGTTTCTGGAGGTAATAGTATTGTGGAGGAATATTCTAGAAATTCTATGTCTGTTTCGTCTATTGAAGAAGGTAGGTGACCACATATATAGTTTGAAAGGTAATTAGCGCTATTAATATTTTGTAAAGCATTAATTCTTTGTAGTGTTTGTTCATATAATGTATTTCATTTTATTATTTTTTCCATGCAAATTTTTTTATTATAGATAGAGTACTAGGTTTGGTCGAAAGCAACTAGGTGTAATGTACCATTTCTAAGGCAGTTGTTTTTGGCTATTTCGATTTCCAAATCCATCGCATTGAGACCGCCTCCCTTTCTCTCATAAAGGAGGGGTTAAGCGTAGAGTCTATAAATTTTATGGGGAGCCTTTGGCAAGAGGTATGCATATAATTTTTTTCTTTGCCTTTTTCTAAGTTCTTTTCAGACCACATTCCAAATTAGGTATCCAAGTAACCTTTCTAAGAACCATCTCATATACATTGCTCCTGTCATCTCTCTGTATTCTTTACAAGTTAGGTTTACTCAACCAGACCAAACTTGTTAGTTACTTGATCGAAATAGGGCAACTTGACGGTGATCAGTTCCTATCATCCTAGTTTCAGATTCATCCAGTAGCTTTCTTACATGTATTCAACTCTAGTTCTAGACATTAAAAATATTCTTTCAAGTAATTTCTGGTTACAGGAGGAGATTTACTTGTGCATGAGTCTAATGTATGTGCAGACAATCTGGCAAATTTTGGTGTTGGGATAGGGTACCGTACAACACTCTTAACAGGCCTTTCTGGGTTTCATTTGCAACGTTTGTTGAAAAGACCAACATGGACGTCTTGCAAGTAGTGTTCGTCTGAGTTTTGGGCTTTTTGCCGCGGATGTAACCCAAAAAATAAAAAATAGAAAAAATGTATTTTCATTTAACAGCACTAGTAGGGAGTAATACAAAATCTGAACACTGAAAAATATATATAAATTACTCATTACTCATTACTCATTATTTTTTTCCCCAAAATTAGGGATATTTTTTTAACTCATTTGTATGTCAATCGCGATTAGTTTTTTTTTTTAGATGATTTTTAAAATTGCACACTCTATATCAGTTTCTTTTATCGAAGAGAATTTTTTTTTTTTTTTTTTTTTTAAGTGTTGATCTTAAGATTTGAGTTTAGAAAATCAAAAGCAAGAGCAAACCTTAATTTGGTAGAAACCATTTTTAATTTTGCTAAACTATATTATATTCTTTCTTGTGACCTACCCTAAAAATTAATTATAGGTAAGTAAAAAATAAAAAATAAAAAATAAAAATAAAAAGAGAGTGAAAATCAAACTTATATGCTTTGCTTATTACTAAAGAAATTGAAAAAAACTGAGAAATTTCAATAATGATTTATTATTCATTAACCGTAATTTCACACTCAATTGCACTATGGATAGAACTATGGTTTTTTTTATTTTTTATTTTTTTTATTATTTTTTTTGGACTTTTGGTGGGCAATAATATTAAAATTATACAATCTTTTACATTTGATCCTTGATATTTTTAAAATTTTTATTTTAATCCACATTTTTATTTGTCGATACATTTTAGTCTTTGGGTGTAGAGAGGAGGGAGGGAGGGAAGAAGAGAGAGACGGGAGGAGGGGGAGGGGGAGAGAGAGGGAGAAAGAGAGAGAGAGCTAGCTAAGCTTATTTAGGTTATTTTGGCCGACGAAACTCTATTAGATTTTTTTTTGATCTTTAGTAGAGGAAGATCGGAGTCAAAAAAGAAAAAGAATTGGTTTGATTATGTTTTTTTTAATGTACATTAAAATGATTTTTAAGTTTTTAAATGTTTTATAATTTTATTTCGATTGTTTATAGGTGTTTAAAAAAAATATATCGAAATTGAATGTCTTAGAGTTTGAAATTTGACTCTTGATTTTCTGGCGAAACTTTGGATGACCTTGAGTTCATCGGAAGTTGCAGATTTTTCTTCTTTTGTTTTTTTTTTTCCCGGCCAGCAGCCCAGGCCTAGAGAAGCAGGCCCAAGCTGTCCTGGCGTGCAGGCCTAAGCAGCCTTGGCCTGCTGCTGAGGCCTGAACACGCAGGTCTCAACTCATTGGGCTGGCTTGGTCCCACAGTCCTATTTTGACCAAACTAGCCTAGTGCACGGGCCTGCACAAGCAGCCCAAGCGCCCAAGCGTGCGATCTTAGCTTTTTTTCTTATTTATTTATTTTTTTCTTTCAATAATTTATTTTTATATTATTTTTATCATGGAATTAGGTGTGAAAAATATAAAAAATACATCGTTAATTTTTTTTTTCAGTTTTACATACAGTTTGATAATGATAGAATATATATGATTTTTTTAATATATTTTTGCTTAAAAATATATATCTAAATATATTACTTTTATTGTTTAAAATTTATTTCTTAAATTATTTGTTTCTTATGAAAATTCTCAACAAATTAATTTTTTAATTTTTTGATATAATTTTATTTGTTAATATATATATATATGTGTATGTGTATATATATATATATATGTGTATGTGGGGGTGTTGTTTTGGGTTGGCGGGTGGTGGCGATTGGGGGATTGGGGGTGGGGGCGGTGTTGAATTCAAACGGGCGCATCCACGAGTCCCACACATCAAGTACTTCCATGTGCATGCATCCAAATTGACTTTGGACAAAGGTCACTTTTCTTTGACTAGATCTGGAAATCCCCTCAATGTGGCACCAATGCTCTGCCTCGCCTATCCAACGACCATGGGCCATAGCAACTACAAGTTTCCAAAGAGTAGTATTTAATTGTTTGCTTTATTTTTTTCTTCTTCTTGAAAAACTACACAAGAAATTTCTTTTATTTTCGTAACTGAAACCGACATACCACTTCCTTCCATCCCATCCACTAATCTATTGTATACAATATTAATTTTCCAAGAATCACTCTTGTACATTGTTATTTCTCTTTGAATAATCTCATTGGATTATTAATGATTAAATAAATCATCTACTTTTAAGTTTTTATATCACAACTTTGACTTATATTAATTTTAAAAAGAATGGATTTAATTTCGATTAATATAAAAATTGATTAAAAAATATCTCACTGTCCATACATATTAAAAAATATATATATATCATATGAGTAATTTAGAATGTTTAACTGCATGATGACTGCTGCTTTTATTATAACTAATCAAGCTTTAAACATCATTAAAATTTAAAAGCTCCTTTGTTTCTAAAAAAGAAAAAAAAAATTGTAGACTTGATAGATAAGAAAATGTATTCAAATATCAGTTAGCTTTCATATTTTTACACAAAAATAAACTAATCTAAAATAGAAATTCTCCATGAAACAATAAACATTACATAAAAACAAGAAGAAAATGTCAGATCTTTTGATCTTGTTTGTGTTACATTTTACTTTCCTTAAGATTTCTTTACGATTTAAAGGCAATAAACAAAGTATGTTTTTAAAAGTTTTTTTTTTAATATATGGTTTTGGTCGAATTTTAAAATCAACATCTTAAAAAAATAAAATTAAAATTTTTTAATATATTATAATGAGGTGGGAGGACAGTTACTTCCTTAAAATAGTAGAAATAAAAAATTTAATTTTAATTGAAATAATTTATAAAGACAAAAACAAAACGAGTATAACGTTAAAACTGATATACAAAAGAGAGGGGGGGGGGAAAGAAGGAAAATCAAATAGGCCTAGATCACAGGGTCACTAAGGAGTCAAAGATAGGAGGCAAAAACAGTACACAAACATACGAACCCGGTTGGTGCCTCTCTCTAATCCCAAATCCCCCTCACTGCCACTGCTCACTGGTGACCAACTCCTCTAGAGAGGGGATTCTCTCTATCTGTATCCACTCTCTCTCTCTCTCTCTCACCACACACACACACACACACACACACGTTTATTCTTATTGATCCCAAACCAACACATATACCTGCGTGGTAAGCAACCCATCAAGAAGAGATCATCAACTCAGATTCTTGCATCTGTTTCTTTTAAGGTTTTAAACTCCTATAACTTAGAGAAATAGATAGGAATGAGGCCAAATTGGGAGTTAAAGAAATGCTGTAACCACGAGCAAGTAGTCTTTCTTGTTACTGTTTCTGTTTGCACTGTTGTTATTCTTGCGGTATGTAGTCTCTCTGCTTTTATGGTACCTTAGCTTCATTACAGTGTTTTGATCAATGAGATTGAAACCCATTTGATTTAAGTGCATAAAAGTAAAGCTAAAAGACATTTTCTTTTTCTTTGCTATGTAAAGAAGTTGGACCTTTGTTTTTCTCTTCGTAATATATATATGTATATTTTCCTTTTAAGAGAAGGGCATTAATTCCCCTATTATAAAAAATCTTTCTTAGGGAGATGTTTTGTTCTTGTCATGAGTACTGGTATTTTTTTTTTAATAAATAACATGCAAATGGGTATTTGTTACTGCATTCTGCTTGAATGCTTATGTCAGTGCCATTGATTTTCTTCACATGCTGGAGTCCTTGTATGCTTACATTCAACTGTTTTCTATCTCTTTAGCAATTCTTAAATGAGAATACTTTGGAGTTATGTTATGGAATAAGGGAACTTTTGAAAGTTCAAATTATTAAGGTAGCTACTGGAAGTTCCACCCTTTTATGTTAAATAACTCAATAAGTTTGGTAGTTTCAGAATAATAAAACTATTATTAACCCACAATTTAAAGTTTGAATCTCGGTGAATTTCTGTTAGAGGTGGAATTGTTTCCACGAGGATATTGAGAGTCTGGAATTTCGAAAGAGAACATCAATCCTTCTACTTCCGTAACTTTGATGCCTATTTCCAATAGAAAATTATTATTTCTGCCCATGAAATCTCAACATTAGAAATGCAGCTTAGTGTTGGATAGTGCTAGTATTACTACATGCTTCCGTATGAATATTACTTTTGTTGTTGTAGTTATGGAGAACAGTACTGTTGAGACCATTCAAACTTGTGACAGTATTCATTCATGAAGCGAGCCATGCCATCGCTTGTAAACTAACCTGTGGCCATGTAATATGATCTTTTCTCTCTTCATACTTTCTTCCTCAAAGTTTACTGCATTTGTGTTGGTATATTATTTGCATATTCTTGCTCTACTTTTCAATTGATGCTATCCTTTTCATCCTATTCTGATAGATTCTTTGAATGAAACTAATCTGTCAATAACCGACTTACAACCTTGTGAGGCTGTTGTATGTTGTTACATTATCCACATTATATACCTGGATGTGCACTCCATGTACTCGAGGTTGTGTAAAATCCAACTTTTAATCCATTCTGTCAGGACACAGAACAAAGAACTTTCTGCCATTTTACAGAAATGAAGCTTCTGCTTTTGCATTATGTATATCTGGGACTTGATTCACAGTTGGCGTGCTTGAGATAGTATACCTTTCTTAATCCATTTTTTATTTAGGAGACAAGAAGATTGTCTTTCAGTCTGTTCATGGGAACATGATTAGCTGCATTGCTAGTAAAATTTCAACAGTATGGTTTCAATGGACTGTTCATAGGAACATGATTAGCTGCATTGCTAGTAACATTTCAGCAGTATGGTTTCAATGGATCAAGAGACAATCTTCTTTTACCCAATTTCCGTCTATACAAAGATTGTGTTTGGCTATCTTACCAATTCACATATCTGGTCGTCCCATGTTGTTATGATCATGTTTAAGATTAGAAACTTCTGGCGAACCTAATACCACCCGTTGATGTATCCAGAATGATAGTCTCAGAAAGTTTTCAAATTAACTGTACTCTTTTGCGCCAAGGCAAAATACATTGTTTCCTCTAGAAAGTTCAGTACTTAAATGTAAATTGCTTAGATGATCATCTAGCTTTTGAGCGTGCAATATTCAGAAATATGAATTGTGGAGTACCTTTATACGCAGGTTGAAGGAATTCAGATTCATGCGGATGAAGGTGGAACCACTCAAACACGTGGTGGCATATACTGGTTAATCTTGCCTGCTGGATGTAATTTATTTGTCCTTTGATTGACTTTCCTCTTTTTCTCTTTTTGTGTCTGTGTGTGGGGAATTGTGGTTATTCCATGTGAGATGAGTTATTTAATTTCTAAAGTTTTCAGCCTACGGGTTCATCGTGAGTTGATTTCTCAAAATTATCCATTACTATTGCTAAAATTTATCTTCCTCATCTTTAATGCTCTCTAGATCTCGGCTCATCCTTCTGGGGAATGGTTCTGATACTTGCATCAACATATCTTCTTACTGCCAGAATAGCTGCAGGATGTTTTATTGCTGCTCTACTTGTTGTTCTCTTGGTAGCTAAAAATGTAAGTGGCTATGTGCATTGAAGATTTCTTTGGATTGTTGCCAATATTGCATTTGTGAATGCTTTAGTTTTAACTGGTATTCCGAATTCATATGGAAGATGTGCACATCAGCTTTCCTTTCAATAACTGAATTCAGGAGTTGCTCAACAAAAAATTTCAAACTAAATTGATAGGAAGTAAAGAAACATTTTCATGAAATCCTAAAATGAATCTGATATACACCATGTTAAAGACTAATTCTTATCCTGTCAAAAATAATAAAATAAATCCTAGAATTAAGTGATTCTTTATAAGTTATTTTGATAGTTTCTATGTTCCTGTTCATCTCCTTAATTTCTAGTTTGTCCTTTCCTATAGAGGTGCATAATTATTCTTTTCTTTTTAATCATTCAAACAGTGGACTCTTCGAGGACTTTGCATTGGTATGTGATTCAGTAACCTGGATGCCTGTCTATAATATGAACAGGCTTCATATAAAGTATGTATCTTAGTGATAGTTGCATGTTGAGCTGTCAGGATTTGTTCTTTTCCTTGGAGTGGTCTGGGTCCTGCAAGAAACAACAAAAGTTCGTATACTTCGGTACATCATTCTATTCATTGGTAATGCAATTTGGCTTTCTTGCTTTACATGTTGCTTAGTGAAATTTACAACCATGCCTTCTTTCAGAAGAAAACTGTTGTCATTGCATCTGTGATTATCTTGCAGGTGTCATGAACAGCCTGTTTTCAGTTTACGGTATGGAGCAGAAACTGGTCACAATTGATTCTCAAACTGTCTGCTTATGTAATCATTGATAACATGTCTATGCTGATGCAGACATATATGATGATCTGATATCTCGTAGAGTTCATTCTAGCGATGCAGAGAAATTTGCAGAAGTATGTCCTTGTCCATGCAATGGTGCAGGATGGGGATTCATATGGTGAGCATCTTAGGTTGAAATGACTGATCTCTTATCCTCAAGTTTTTTATTCACCTTTAAGGAACTATTATAAGAACTTTCTCATGATCCTATATGTGGGTGTTGCCTTTCTACTCTAATTGTAAGCTTGACTTGCAGGGGGTTGATATCTTTCTTGTTTCTTTGTGGAGCCATGTACCTTGGTCTCGTGATATTGTCTTGAGGTACATTCACCTTCCATATCCATTGCCTTCTGGTTTGTAAATTACGATTGAGAACCTAGGAAATGTGACATAAAAATCAGCTTTATATACAAATGGAGAAGTTGGTAAGCTAGAATGCAGTCGTCACCAGTAATTAAATAAATAGATGTGAGTCTTCACTTGATAAAAACAAAATTATTAAAATGAGAACTTTCAGAATGTTAAAAATTGACCTCAAACTTCAGCGTATGTGAAGGGTGTAAAGGAAAATCGTTTGTATGCAACTGTTTAAACTTCTCTTAATGATTATGTATGACTGTATCATTAAGTATATTTTGGTAATTAAAAATGAATCAACCATGTTGTTTAACATAGTCAGGCCGATTGCAAATCCCGAAAAAGAACTAAAGAAATACCATTTTTTTTCCACCTAAAAAAAGGGATGGTATCATTTGGTGCTATCATGATTACTTTCTATTACATTCCTAACTCCCTTAATTGCTGCGAGAGGCAGAATCAAACAATTTGATCCAACAATTACCCTAAGTTTTTCGGTTCTTTTATTCCTCTAAACAGGGCGAAGAATTGTGGTGCAGATTCTTTCCTACACCGAGAGGCTGACGTGTTGTTGACATGTTTGCAGACCTGAGAGGCTTTACTCAAATGAGATCTCACTTAATAGGCAAAATTCTTTGAATTTTGATTGATTCACGTTAAAAAGGGCCAATCTTTTTGTATGTTCTCACCAACTGTTTCGTTTCTTCTCAAAAATAGCTGAAGTGGAATCCTAGCGTTTACGCTCATTGAGATGTTTTGCATTTATTATCATTCCAAGAATGAGAGAAGAAATTACCTTCATTATCTTGGATTCATCAATTCTATATCTAATGCGCTTGCCAACAATCTCAGCAGGCATCACTAGATCCTCAAGGCTATACGAGGCCGTTGAACAGCAGAGCCTTTCTTTGGAGGCCTCAAAATCCTCCTAGTAGCCATCAAGATTACATCCTAATGGAAAATTACGACACAAGCTGAAAAGAAAAAGAAAAGAAAAAGAAAGAGAAAATCAACATTCTTATTAACCTTACGGAAGCTTTGTGAATAACCTTGAACTAAAGAAATTTGGAATCAACTTGAAACAAATGACGAAGGTTCCATGAAAACAGAATTCATACTCAACAATCCCAGCGGCAACTGAGCCAAGAGGGAAACGAAAAATACCCCGAACATGCATGAAACAGAAATGATATGCAAAACAGCACATAGCAAGCCCTTTAGATGCTCCATAATCATTACAATAACAAACTAAACTCCGAATCATAAAGGAACATTGGGAGCTCTAATTTGTCAATTTCCTTCAGAATAACTTACATTTCAGTCAATAATAAAGATTCAACATCTTAAACAATGAGCAATCAAATCCTGAAAAAAGGTTTGGTTTAATCTTATAAAATTAAAACTAAAAAGGTGCACAAAGATATACTTCATAGAAAACACACCAACTGAAATTCAATGAAACAATCCATAATTTAGTTCATATACATTTCTTTATCAGAGTTTCTTAGTTACAAAATGCATAATCACCAATCGCTCATTCGATTTGCTTTATAATAATAGTGGTAGAAATATAAGAGGTTAAAACCTAAGACTTAATCGCCTTCCCGCTGAGCTTCTTCTCAAGCTCTCTCACAAGCTTAAGATGGATCTTTTTATAAGCCTTCCTTAATCTGTAAGGAACATAGATAACAAGAGACTTCCGGTTCCCAGAAACATCAATTTGACTGCAAAAAGAATGGAAGAACAATAAATATACAAGAAAGAACTAAAAGGATTTCACAATCCATGTATATAAAAATATTTTTCCAACTTAGTGTTAATAACTGTTAGGTTCTGACCATATGACAGGGAAACACAAATACATACATGCAGAAAATGTAGAAATAAATGTATGCACTTATTGTTGAAAGTAAGAAAGGGTAGCTATATATATATATATATATATATATATATATAGCTGTATATATAATTTGTTGCTTAAGCTGGACTAATGCGTGTAAAAGAAACACAAATGCATGCATGTAGAAATGAATGCATGCACTTTTATATTGCAAACTTTTTGTCTCTCTCCTCACCGTCCTTCAGCTTTCAACAACAAGTGAAAATGCTTTAGTCCAGCTTAAACAGCAAATTATATATACCTCCTCACCGTCCTTCAACTTTCAACAACAAGTGAAAATGCATTAGTCCAGCTTAAGCAACAAATTATATATACCGTCCTTGAACTTTCAACAGCAAGTGAAAATGCATTAGTCCAGCTTAAGCAACAAATTATATCTGCAGTGGGGAGGGGGAGCCTCTGGATGATTAAGACGTAGATAGAAGTGAGAAAGAAAACACGAGAGTGTAAGAAAAAAATAGAGAGCATTGAGTGTGAGTCTTAATTTGTGAGCCTCAATTGGATGATGATTTTTACGTTTGATTGAGATAAAATTTTAGTATGCTGATCTTCTTATATTGCTATACTTAGTGATCAGAGTTGATCATAGGAAAGCTACCACATTGGCGAGATCTTGTTGTAATCTCATTCTTTAAAATAGTAAAAATTTTTGATGGATTAATGTTCCTGTGGTTTTTCTCCTTCATTCAAAGGGAGGTTTGCACGTAAAAAAATCGTATTGTCTTGTATGCTTGTTCTTTTTCTTGTTTTTGTTTACTATTTTTTATTACACAAAAAAGGGGCTGAGTTTATCTAGGCGATTGGATAGTGTGTGTTCCAGGCCTAGCAGAGTGGTATCAAAGTCTAGTTGTGCAGATTTATTTCTTTCTATAGTCAAAATAGAGAAGTAAGATTCAAGCATGATAAAACTTAATTCTTCCAATTATGTTTTGTTGATGACATTGATGGAGGATTACCTTCTCTATAATTGATTTGGTGCTACTGCTTAAATGTGAAGGAGAGAAGCCAGTTGACATGTAGGAGGCAAAGTAGAAGTCATTGAGAAGGAAAGCCACTATTGCTATAAGAAGATGAATATCTTCAAAATCTATCAATCATATTACCCAGACTATGAAGACTAGATGATGCTGAAGGAAACCTTTATTAATAATTTTTTTAAAAACAAGGTCTTCACAATAAGAGACCTTGTTAATTTAAAGTAAAAATATGATGAAGATGCTTTGGAACACATAAATGATTTTCAGGGATCATGAATCGTGTCACTGAGCAACTCCACAGCGAATGAGAAGCTCACTTTAAAGAAATTAAAAGACAGTATTCTCAATGAAGAGAAAGAAGAAAAAGTTCAACCACTTCAGAATCACAAGCACTTGTTACAGAGCATCATGAAAGGAATACAAATAAAAATTCTTATGGCAAGTAAGACTCGAGATAAAAGAGGAAAATCAAGGCCTAAAGGAATATCACAATCAAGAAAAAGCCGTCATGCATTTCTATTTTGAAAATCTAGGACACATCAAGAAGGAATGCAAAAAATTTATCAGAGATCAAGAAAAAAAGATGAAGGGGAAGAAGCAAACACTATTGCAGTTGTATCTGATGGCGATGTTGTCCTTATTTATGATAAAGGCTATATTGATATACCATGCCAAGATAACACATTGGTTGCATATTCGGCAGTCTCATATCATGTTACACCTAGTAAAGATTTTTCACACCTTACAATAGTGGCGACTTGGGCAAGTAAAGATGGGAAATCCTGGTGTAGCTAAAGTTATGGACATTGAAGATATTTGGTTGGAAATCAATATTGGATGCAAATTGCACCTCAAAGATGTTCGACATGTTCTTGACATGCACCTCCACTTGATATCCACTAGCACACTTGATGAAGAACGTTATCATAACTACTTTAGTGATGGACAATGGGAACTCACCAAAGGTTTTTTTATTGGTTACGAAAGGTAAGAAGTCACGTTTATACCTTTTTCAAGCCAAGATGTGCAAAGAAGAGGTGAATGTAGTAGAAGACACCTCCATAGAGCTTTAACATAAAACAACTTGGTAATTTGAGTGAGAAGGGCCTTGGTATCCTTGCTTGAAAAACTCTCATAGCTTTAAAAGGTGCAGATTTAAAGACATACACTTATTGTTTGACAGAAAAATAACATAGGATTGCATTTAAAAGATCAATATCACTTAGGAGATCACTTATGATGTTAGATTTGGTTCACATTGATGTAGCTCCATTATCAAAAAATCTATTGGAGGTGCCTCGTATTTTATCACCTTTATTAATGACAATTCAACAAATTCACGGGTGTATTGTTTAAAAACAAAAGACTAAGTGTTTGACGCGTCCAAATAGTTTCATGTTGATGTTGAAAAAAAGAAATAGATTAAAAAAAAAAAGAAATAGAGGCAATTGAAATATGTTTGAGCGGACAATGATGGTAAATACAGAGGTTCATTTGAAAAGTATTATAAGAAGCATGATATCAGGCATGAGAAGATAGCTTTGAAGACTTCTTGGTAAAATAGAGTTGTTGAGAAAATGAACCCCACTATTATGGATAGAATCATATGTATACTCTTTCATACAAAGCTATCAAATTCTTTTTGAGAAAAGATAATAAAGATTGTGATATATATGATCAAACTTTTTCCTTTCATTCTACTTAATTATGATATATAAAAAATGAAGGATCATGCATCTTATGAAGATATGGAATAAATTTTTTTTTCCCTCTATCTATGACTCTCAAGATCAAGCTATTGAATCAACTAATCATACATATATGAATTAAAAGTGTGAGTAAAAGATTACCTATTATAACGTAGATTTAGCCTTTGCATAAAAGGAGTCATCCAAGTGTCCGACCTCTATCGATAATTCACACAGCTTAAACAATCATAAAGGAAGCAACAGAAATCATAGAGTGCTAGCTTCAATTCTTATGTATAGTTAACTTTTCTCTAGAAATGAAATTAGGGTTTATGTGCCAACTATTGGCTTTTGTGGGGAAAGGTGTGGCAACCAAGGTTTTTGAGAGAAAAACACTT